GTTGTCAGCAGCCGGGGGGGGGGGGGGGGGGGGAGGGATAAGTGGCGACCGCATGCAGGTGCTGCCGGCAGCGGCGGTGGCGGCATATCACAGGGGGTGGCAAATCACCGCCCATCTCAGGGGTTGCACATGCACCATCATGCACCCCCTACATGTTGCCGGTGGAAAAGAAGAATATAAGAGGTCAGGTCAGGCAGGTACTTGGTGAACCAGATGGCAGGCAGGTTGTAGTGTGTCGTAAAATCAATGTCTATATTGAGTCTGTGATTTTTTTGTATACAGTAGATTTATGAAGTGAAGTTCTAAGGCTTGTCTATGGAAGGCGTTTTATAAGTTCCTTTTGAGGATTAGAACTGAGAGATCGGAGGGAGTGATTGTCCTGTGAGAAGTGTGCCCCCACAGCTAGTTGGGTATTCTTGTCTTTGATAGATTTTCAGTGTGCATTTATTCCAGTGCACAGTTGTTTGGTTTCTCCAACATATTTGTATTTGATTCATAATCTGTGATAAAATATGACCATTTTGTAGAATTTACATCTAGCAAGCACCTTGCCCATATCAACAAATCAGGGCGAAAAGATTTGAAGGATGCAAGAGAATGGTATATAGGCATTCCTTACAAGTAGCTCCTTTTAACTCCTGTGTAGGTATGCAATCTACATGTGCATATTTTCCTTTTATTTATATTTTTGCTATTGTCCAGGGTAGTGAGAATTCTAGATACAACTGATATAAGTGGTTGCTACTCACTGTAATAGATGGTATTGCACATGGTTAACACCAGCCTTGAACTTTGTTGGAAAAGGCTGACATTGTAATTAGGATAGCAGCCTCTTAAAGGTGGAGTGGAACATAGGACTGGAAAGGACCTTCTGTACAATCAAGTTCCAACCCCTTCTGAACTATGGCCACATGCAAGCACTACATTTGTATCTGGAGAATCACACTTCTGGTAGAAGCCCTCAGTGTATTAACATTCACACATTTTTTTCCCAAACCAAAAATTACACTTCTGGGAGAAAATTAACCAAATTCCAACTAAGTAGAAATAGCTCCCAGGAGAGTTTCTCCTGGGAGAATGAGCATATGTACACTTATTCCAATAAAAGCAATAGTATTGTCCTTCAGCATCCGAGCATGCATTATTCTGCAGCCTCCTCACCCCCACACACTCCAGGGAGACAGTTTGTGGCTTGAGCTGGACTTCACTGCTCTTGCCAAGCATGGAGCACATCCCTCCCACTGACTGTCTTAGGACAAGGAAAGCTCTGCCCCTTTCACCCATTGCTTCACTCCAGAGCTCCAGGGAAACACAGGGTGCTGAGGCAAATGTGTTCCTTGCACATGACCCAGACCCAGTACTTAGACTCAGATCGCCATGTCCCCAGACCTAGATCCTTAGGCTCCCAGACTCAAACCCCCATGCCCCAAGGCCGAGACCGAGAAATTGACACACCTGCAATTGACAAGAGAGGAGATGTGCTTTGAGTCTCATCTCTGAAAGCCTTACTGCAGGGAGGGAGACAGGATTATAAGCAGGAGTTCCCCAGGGAGGTGTTGTCCTCTAGGGCAGCCAGGCAGTCAGCACTGTCCTGTGCAGTCAGTAGCCCTTAGCACTCTCCAACATGCTGGGGAGCCTGCAGAGTATACTAAGGTACATGCAGAAAGGCTCCCTGGCTGTGCACCATCAGCAGTGCAGGCTGTCTGCATGGCACCCACCCAGCCCCTCTAATGTTTGTACAGTGCTGTTCTGGAAGCTTTTTCTACCATGAGAACAAAACCATGGGGCTTCTATTGCTGCATTTGAATGCTTGTACATTGCCTACGTCTTACAGTCCAGTTTACAAAATGATCAAAGTTGCTTGTCACCAATATTCCTATTGGAAGGCTCATTTCCAGCTTAAATTTAATAATAGCCATTTTATGCCCATTTGTTATTATGCTGATCATGGTCAACTGTTACCTCCTAAGTCAGGGGGGACAGTTGCCTCCCCCCCCCGCTGCCAGTCAGGAACCAGGGGGGCATTCCCCCTGCAGCCAGCCAGCCATGCTGATCCAGAAGCAATGTTCCCTCTAAGCTGGCTCTAAGAGAGAATGCTCCCCGGAAGTGCCAGCAGCATGCCTGGAAGGGCCAAGAACGCACCTGGAAGGGCCAGGAATGTGCCCAGAAGTGCCAGCGCTACTTCTCCTGGTGCCCCTACTCCCCAGTCAGCGCTGTCAGGGTGGGCACCAGCGCTCCCACCTGCCCTCCCTGCCCACTGCCTAAGCGGGGAACACTACTGTGAGGGGGTGCACCAGCACTCTCACAGGTTGCGCGTGCACCCCCGTGCAGTCCCTACGCATCACCACTGATGGTGTCTTTTAGCTTAAATAGTTCTCCCTTTCTGGTGGGCAGTCCCTGACTTATGTATGGAGTATAGGCCAGTTCAGTCAAATCCCTTCTCAGTTTTGTTTTACTGATCTATATAGGTCATGCTCATTGGGTGCAGACAGAAGTGACATTTTTCTCATGATCTGTCCCCTGGAATTGCTTTACAGCCATGACCTAACACACATGCATGGCTGCAGAGCACTTTTAAAATGGCTGATTGTGCAAATAATTAACCCTCATCAAATCGGGTATTAAAGCTCTCTGCATTAGAGCATCTTAGGGAACTTTTGTTGCCTTGAGGGTTAAAGTTTCATGCAGGGTCAAGTCTGTCAGGCAGGAGGGAATAAGAAGAGAGCAGCACTGAGCTGCTGGCTTGACCAGCCTGAGCTCTGGAGGGGTAGAACAGAGTCCCCTTGCCTCGTGCCCTCCCCCCGCAACTACCCCAGCTATGATACTGGGAGGAGAAGAAACATTTATTCTTCATATTAGATTCTTTTTCTGTATCTAACACAACTTTCACTTTCAAGATGTAGCTTTCCTTGCAGATCAATTCTTTTGTCCTTCCTTATACGTACTCTGCTTCTTCATAATATCGTTTTTGAGGTGATTAGTCATCAAAATACTTGTT